AAAGAGCAAGAAGGGGGAGGAAATGCTAGATGAATTGTTAAGAGTGGAAGAAGGGGTCCTTAAAAGGAGCAAAGGGATTGGGGAGAGATGGTTGGGATACTGCTGGGATTTGTTCTGCTTTGTTTTGAAGGGCTGCTATTTTTTTTATAAACCTTACACTGTAATGCTGTTTGCTGTTTTGAACTATTTGTATGTGTATATTAATTTAGTATAAAAATTAAACTAGATAAGAAGCTGCTCTGAATAATCATATTGATAATCACTGCTTGTTTCCACATGGGCTCCCCAGTTGACAGCTCCTTTCAAGTCTTTGTAACATTCCATTCCATTCTCTATACTGCAGGCAGAGTGATTTTTTTTTCCCCCCAAATGTAAATCAGAGCTGTCTCACACTCCTCAGCTTGAAACTTTTCAATGCTACCTAGGTTTGCAGCCCAGCCATGTGAGCCTTCTTTCAGCCCTTTGTCAGGGATTTCCATTGTTACAAAGCACAGCCCACTGCCTCAGCCTGGAGTGCTCTTTTGCTTCTTTCTAGGTTCACCAACCCTGGACCTTCAGATTATAGGTCTGCTGTCATAATCTCATGGATAGCTTGCCTGGTCCCCTTCTAGGTAGCATATTACTCTCATGGCACTTGCACTGCACTTTCCTGGTGTTCATAACTTCATTTTACTTTTGTATTTGACTGTTGTTTCTTTTTGCAAGTAGCTCTATAAGCTACACAAGGGCATAACTATATCTTATTTTGTTTCCCTTTGTGCCTAGCTCTGTGCCTGGAATATAGCAGACACTCAATAAATAGTATTAACTAGCTCAAATATTCTTGTCATTGTGTTATTCTATTAATGTACAATTCTTTGTTCTCGCATTTTTTTTCTGATTCATTTTGCAAACAAAATCTATACCCCTATTCTCTGAGATAAAATTGAGGAGAGAAGTGGCTAGTGACTTTACTAGGGAAAATCCTTGTAAGTACTAGTTTTTAAAGTTTAGCTTGGCTTCCTAAGATATGTAGACAGAAACCCAGAGCCAGGGAAAAAATTGTAAGAAATATATAATTCTTTCTGTCTCAGAAGTGGCTGTTGGCTTTTGATATGTACAGAAATATCAGAACAAAAGTAAGAAAGCAGAAAGGGAGAGGGCAGAGCCTGGAACCCTGTGCAGGGTGGAGAATGGTGGGACAGCCTTCACATAAGTTAGATTTTATGCTGGCCCTGTTGCTCAGAGGTATATCCTTGTTCCCCAGAAGTATATCCCTATTCCCCAAACTTTCTTTGAAGTCTTCCAGGTACCTGATTTGGGGATCCAGACCCTTCATACCACTAGACAAAGACAAGTTTTGAATCCATAACTGGGTTGGCAGTAAAAGCAGGAGGGAGAGAGGGATGAATTCCAAAAGGAGCATAGTTCACAGCAGCTGGACTCAGAGGTGTTCACAGAGCCTGTATTTCCCAGAAATGTTCAGATCTTTGAAAGGAGGTAATTGACCTTTACATAAACCATGGAACGATGGGGACAGGCTGAGCCAATTTCATGTATACTGCAAAGGACAGGGTAACTACAGTTGACATCTGGACACAGATATTTCTATCTTCAATATATTTGAAGAGTTAAAAAACCTATCATATTCAGAATAAGGAAGCTGGAGGGTGCCTAGTTTATCCAAAGTAAAAAATATTTCCAACCCTAAATAAAGCTAGCTGAGAAACATTGCTGCTCAGATGTCAGCATGCTAATTATACACTCAGCAGACATGTCAGGTACAAAGATTAAATTCACCCACAAAAAAGTAAAAGAGGAAAGTCAGGGGATCAAGTTTTCTAGCTATATAAATCTCCCTTCAACTGCCAGAAACTGTTTGGGCAGCCTCAGGCAGAGCTAAACAACATTTAGTTCAGATAATCGAGGTTATTTTGTGTAGGTTGTTTTCTACATTGTTGTGGCTTTCAGAGATGATAGGTTTGTCTGACCCTCCGTCACACATTCTGGATATGAGTTGACCTTGTAGAAGTACCCAGGTCTGGGTCAGCAGCCCCAGTGTTCATTCTAACTGGCTTACCAAGGGCCTTGCCATGGAATATGCCAACAGAGATGGCACCATCCATTTCTTCCTCTTGTGCCTCTCCTGAGAGGTCATAGAGCCTGAGACAGTGATCTTCACAGTAGCATATTTGTACTTCTGGAGATACACAAAGACTTTTCCAAGTATGTATACCGGCATACTTTCATACAAAGTATTTCCTAAAACTGATCTTCCTGGGAACCAGTGTAGTCACGTGTCTTGCTGGTACTACTGTGATCAATGTCCAGAGTGAAAACTCTCCAAGATAGCAAAGAAAAGTGATAATTTAAATATTAGTATGGAGGTTGAAAAAAAAAAGAATGATTATATTACAATTTTTTTTGCAAGTTAAGTAGCTTCAAATTTGTTGTTTTGAATAAAACAGAGGACATAATCTGTCCAGCGATAAGTTTTTTTAAAAAATTTGTTAACAGTGCTGGCGATTTAACTCATAATTACTCATTTTTAAAAAAACTTTATTGAAGTAGAACACATGGGAACATGCCTGTAATCTCAGCACTCTGAAAGGCTGAGGCAGGAGGACTGCAAGTTTGAGCCCAGGCTAGGCAATTTAGCAATTTAGTAAGATCCTGTCTCAAAAAAAAAAAAAAATAAAAAGCCATACTGTTCAATAGTTTTTCATACATTCATAGAGTTGTACAACCATAGTTTTCCTCTATAGAATTACCTATTCTGGACATTTCATAATAATGGAAATGCTGCATACCATGTGGTCTTTTGTGACTGGCTTCTTTTACTTAGTGTAATGTTTTTAAGAGATATCCATGTAGTATGAGTACTTTATTTCCTTTTATGACCCAAAATGTTTCATTGTATGGATGCACCATATTTTATTTATCCATTCATCAGTTGATTCAATGATAGATTGTTAAGAAATATTTTCTACAAAATACCTATAAGGTAAAAAATAACTAAATAATTTGAAATAAATTTACTAAAACAACTTTCTTTAAAAGCAATTTAAAACCATGCCTATAATTCTAGTACTCAGGAGACTAAGGCAGAAAGACCACTGGTAGTTTGAGGCCAATTTGGGCTACATAGTGAGTTCAAGTCCAGCCTGAACTACATAGCAAGACCCTGTCTCAAAAACAAGCAACAAACAAAACAAACAAAAACAAAAGAAAAGCCCAGTTTTGCCAGTCACAGTAGTACATACCTATAGTCCCAGGCAGGAGGATATCTTGAGTCCAGGAGTTCAAGACCAGCTTGGACAACATAGTGAGACCCCCATCTCAAAAAACAAAACAAAAATATTTTGTCAGAACCAATGAAAGAAAAACTTTTAAGTATTCAGATGTTTTATTAAATTAAATTTGTGATTAAAAAATATTTTAAGAAATCCAAGCCAGGCTTGTGTGGTGCACAGCTACTCAGGAGGCTGAGGCAGGAGGAACAGAAGTCTGAAGCCAGCCTGGACAATTTAGTAAGACTGTCTCAAAATAAAATATTTAAAAAGGGCCAGGGATGTAGCTCAGTGGTAGAGTACCCACTAGGTTCAGTACCCAGTACTGCCAAAGAAAAAGCAAATGAAAGATATATGGGTAGTCCAAACCAAGATGTGCTGTAAGTGGAGAATAATTTCTAGGTTTTAAATAAAATATGAAAAAAATGAATGTAAGAGGATTTAATTATCTTTTTTGTGTTGATTATGTGTTGAAATATTTCAGAATATTAGGCTAAGTAAAATATATTATTAAATTTCATTTTACTTATCTACAGTTTTTAATATAGCTGCTAGGGAATTTATAATTTTATATGGGGCTCCCTTTGTATTTCAACTGGATAGTGCTGCTGTAGACAATCTGTCTCAATGCCAGCAGTCAGAGTGGTCCTTGGAAGATACAGTTCACAACCTGTTATTGCTCTGCTCGAAACTCTCCAACATATAGTACACACACTAGTAAGTCTAAATCCCTGCCAAGCCCACCACATCCTGTGCCATCCTTCTCGTGCTCCCCGTAATGCATACCCAGTCTCTCCACTCACAGTCAGACACAGATTTTGATGTATCTGAAGCTTATACCATGAGGAAATGATAGGGGTTCTTACTAAGGAGAAGAGTACAGGTTATGAATATAAAATTAGGCAAATAATTGAATACATATTTAGAATAAGAAAAAAAATTACAACAATTTCCTGTACTCTCTGAAATTCAAGTCCCTTTCTTCTGATATCTGTTTAGGCAATTTACCAGTCACATTTATGAAGAAATGCTTCCAGATTGGACCCTGGTCCCCCCACCCAACCTAGAACTCTCCACGGCCTCAGCATTGTCCTTGTAAATGTTGGCCCAGGCTGAGGGAGCTCCAGAAGCTCCTTTGGCTTTGCATAAATTTCACTGTAAAATTCCTCCCTGCTCAAACTCACTGCCTACCACCCCACCCGCTCCCTCTTGTTGGTGCTATAGACTGAACAGGGCCTTGTCTGTGTGCTCTACTACCCAGCTGCACCCCTACCCTCCACACTTTTTCTGCCTCTTTGCTCCTCAGTGCAGAAGCACTGAGGAGCCCTCCTTAAGGCTTTCCCATTTGCTTTTTCCTAGTCTTGGAATGTTCCCTCCCGCTGTAGCTGCAGAGCTTACCCTCTCTTCTACAGACCTCTGCTGAAAAATCTCATCAGCACACCAGCCTGGCCCAACCTCCCTATAAAAAGCAGCACATTCCCCCAGCAGTCTCCCCTGCTTGCTATTCTCTTTAGCCTTAATTATCTCCATTACATTCACCACCAGCTGACATATCATGCATTTACACATCTGTGTGCTGATTACCGGAGAACTCTGGAGGACAGGGATTTGTTTTGTTTCTGGTAAGTATACTCAGCATCTAGAATAAGGCCTGCCCCTTGATGGATACTCAGAAACTGCTATTTGGATCAATGAATGAATATAATTATATAATATATAATATATAATGAATGAATGACGGGAAGCCCTGTTATTTTTCAGTATGGAATCAGTTCTTCAAGGAAACAATTCACTTCACACCCCTAGTCCATGTGCTTAATCATCATCACTAAGGGGTTACTTGGTAGGTGGCGGCTATATTTGTGCCCACCTAGCACTCTTCCATGTCCTCCTTTCTCCTAGTCCCACCTGGTAGGCAACTCCCAGCCAGTAGGGATAAACACATCCTTTAGGCATGGCCAACTGAAATTAGAATGCTTGGTCAGAGATGAGCACTTGACCTCTCCCTGGACAATCCACAACTTCCTTAGGAATATTCTCGCAGGTGCTGGGGGAGGGGAAGCAGCCCCCTGACTTGTATCACATCATTCATCAAGAAGGGTGTGAATTAAGGCTTTTGGCAGATGAGGTGGGCCTTTGCTCTTCCCAGGCAGAGAAAGATGAGCTGAAAGAAAGGGAAGCCCTGGGCTGGGGATTTAGCTCAGTAGTTCTGCTGCCTGCTTTGTAAGCACAAGGTCCTGAGTTCAATCCCCAGTAACAAAAAAAAAAAAAAAAAAAAAAAAAAAAAAAAAAAGGAAGAAAGGGAAGCCCTGTATTATGGTGCCCAAGTCCAATTTCCATGAGCTCTCCAGCATGTTCCAACACATTCCTTTCTGCATTAACAATGGCCAGTTGGGTTCCTGTCACTCAGAATGAAAACTCCTTATTGGTATGATGCATCAGGGCCTGGACTGGTCACTGAGGATGCATGCATGGCTGGGACGCTATCCTTGCCCTCAAGGAGGGAAAATAACAATTGTAATGCGGTATGAACACAAGTAACAGGTATGGAATTTGCAAGAATTTAGAGGTTTGGCACATGTCTCATGACTTTTGTCATCTTCTTGTGATGATTTTTCATTTGCAGCAAACTAAATATCCAAAATAACATTGTCCATGATCAAATAAATACTCAGCACCTACCATGTACAAGGTACACAATAAGCGTTGTGATACAAAACCATAGAGCATACTAACTGGGGTATGTTGAACTTACAAATATAATAAAGAATATATAATGAGTATGAAATGAGGTCATAGGACATTCTATTCTTTCCTATCTGTGCCTTTCTAGAGGAGCAGTTTAGCATTGTGGTTAGGAGCATGGACTATGAAGTCCCAACTCTGTTACTAATCATGTGATCTCAGGCCAAGTTACTTCATCTCTGTGAGACTCAGTGTTCTTCTCTATAAAACTAGGTAATATAAAACTATTTTACAGGGTTTTGGGAAATAAGTTGATATAATTAAAGCATTTAGAAAATTATCCAACACATAGAAAGCCCTCAATAAGTATTAGTAAACACTATGTCTAAATTATATAAATTATAAATTCCTCAAAAGCAGAAACTCTTGCATTATTTGGAGCTCAGCTAACATGTACAAACCACATGAAATTTTTCTCCTTGCTTGGCTCAGCAGTATTAATTTATTAGCAGATGTAGGCATTGTCTTGCTTGCTGATTTCTCCATCTGCTCTAAATTTAGTACTAAGTAAAGACAGTTGCGAGGGTGGAGGAGGTGTTAGAGATTGCTAGTCCACATCCATTGTGTTTTTTGTTTTGTTTGAAAGCTATAATTCAGAGTTTGGAATTATCTGTTGAAGACCAATTTTAGGCATGTTTGTGTAAAGATCTGTAGCATCTATTTAAATTATTATGTGCATGCATACTTTGAGTCTTCAACCATTTGCATATAGCAGGGTCTAAATGATGTTCCAAATTCGATGACCACTTTCTACATGGTCTTGCATAATTCCTTATTCATAACATATGGCTATTAAAGAAATTGGTTTGCAAAAAGCAATTCATTTTCTTTTTTGTTGCTGTTTAGCTCCTTTTTCATTTTTTCTTTTCTTTTTAGACAAGATCTTTCTATATAGTCCAAATTGGCTTCAAACTTGGGGATCTCCTGCCTGAGCCAGGTGCTGGGATTACAGGCATGCACTACTATGCCTGGGTGCAATTCACTTTTTCAATTTTGATAAATAGAATAGTCATAATTGCACAGTCCTAGGTTTAAATGAAAATGTGTAGTACTAGGATATCTTTTTTTTTTTTTTTTTTTTTTGGTACCAGGGATTGAACTCGGGTCCTTGCTCTTGCAAGGCAGGCCACCAAACCACTGAGCTAAATCCCCAGCCCCTAGGATATCATAATTTTATCTTCCATTTGTATAGTGTGTAACAATGCATTAAATTTGTATATTTTTAACTCTTGTGACCACTTAGTTTAAAAAGCAGGGGAATATCATGAATTCCATTTTACAGATGAAGAAATTACAACAAAGAGGTGTTAACTGACTTGACTAAGTTTACTAAATGGTAGAGCCAAGACTATACTCAGGTTTCCTGATTGCTAGCCAAGTGCTTTTTCCCCCTTTTTTTGGCAGAGAGAAATTATAGGAATTCTTATTTTCTTCCACTAAGTTTTACAGCCCAATTCTAGGAAGGACTTGGGAGTACTTACCAGTAATAGCCTGTTAGGAGACTTTAGCAAAATCTATAGGTAATCCTACCTGGTAAATGCTATAGGCCTATCCCCCTGCAATGGGGATTTACACAAGGAAAATGTTTTAAATAATAGCATTCAATTGTATCTTGTAGAGCTAAGAAACTTTGAAATTCACAGGTAAGCAAGGATTATTACAGAGGCCAATAAAAGGTAGGATTGATGTGAGTTCAAAGCCAGCCAAGGCTACATAGTGAGTTCAAGCCTTGAATACATGGTAAAACCATGTTTTTAAAAAAAGAATCATTGTTGAAGTAAATGAAATAATGAGGGAAAACCTAGTTAATACTCAACCTCGTTACTGTTCATTTCTAGCTAAAGATACCTATAAAACCCCACATAAAGTAGAGCAGAAGGTATTTTGTAGATATCACTTTGAACAAAAACAATCATATGGGTTTTGCAACATTTGTGTTCATTGGAAAAGAGCCATCACTTGAGAATTTCTTGTCATTAAATAGATAGGAGGGAGCAGGGATCAAAAGAGAATCAGCCTGAACATATAGTCAGTTGCTGGGGACTGACTATGTGGTTGAGACCAAAAGTGGTTTATACATGGAAATGTTTATTCTAAAGGATTTAGTGCAAATGATAAACACAGAGAGATTAAGTTTCTATGTAATTTGTATTTAGATTCTGATCCATCTAGGATAAAATTACATAAACAAATATGAAAATGTTGATTTTGGATACAGAAATGGTTAAGGCTTTCAAGGGACTGAACAATATTGTAGTGGGATTAATTTCTCACAGGTCAAAAGAATACAGATGGCAGCAGCAT